TCTAAGATTTGAAAATTTAATACAAGGCTCATAATATATTTTTACAATAAAAATTGAAAAATAAAATAAATGCGTAGTTACCTAACCTAACCTAACCTAACCTTTTTTTTTTTTTTACAAATAATACAAATACAAATTACATGCGTTGCAGTTCAAGATTTCATACGTACAATACAATGGGGGCCTCTAACCACCCTGAAATTTGGCCGTTCAGCCTACAATACAATGTTACTTAACTAAAGGATTTATCACTATGTTGAGCGACTTGTCTCATCCTCTCAAGGTCCTCCTTCCGGCCCATGATTGTTTCAACCATCTCTGCAAAGAGGGACGCGTTCTTGGAGGCCGCTTCAATGATCCTTCGCCGTCGAGTTGGATCAACAGGCAGTTCATCCATCCTCGGCTTGCACACCAGACTCGCGACATCCTCCGGCCGAGGCAGTCTGCCGAGGCTTTGGGACAGCTTCGTTCGGGCGTCTTCCCAGAAAGGGTATACGAAAATCGTGTGCTCCACATCGTCCGAGTCTGACGGGCAATGCACACAACCTGGGTGTTGTGCCCTCGCCTTTGTCCAAAGGTACTTCTGGAAGCACCCATGGCCCCTCAGCACTTGGGCCATGTGGAAGCTGACCCKCCTAGGTCCCAGCCGCCACCACGCTTCCAGGTCTGGTATTAGGCGCCTGGTCCAGGCCGCCTTCGGAGTGGAGTCCCAGAGCTCTTGCCACTGTCGCAGGATCACTCCCATTTCCTCGCTTTCTGTGCTAGGGGTGCCGTTCCTTTTCGCCTCCGCTATCCTTTTCCTCGATGCCGCGACTAGAGTTGCCGGGGGCATTCTAGCAAGGACCAGTGTGGCTATGTCAGACACGGTCCTGTAGCATCTTGCGACTCTCAGCGCTGCAGTCCTCTGCGCCTGAAGCAGCGCGTTCTCCGCCTTATTCACGCCTTGAACGCTGTCTGCCCATACTTGCGCGCCGTACAACAGGCGGCTGTGCACCACGCTCATAAGCAGGCTCCTCTTTGACTGCGACAGCCCCCCTACGTTCGGAATTAGCCTCCCGAGCGCAGCCGCCGCTTTTTAGCGCCCGAGGCCACCGAAATGGCGTGTTGGACGAACGATAGTCTTGTGTCCAGCCGCACTCCTAAATATCTTATGTCGCGTTTCACTGGCACCCGGAAGCCCTGCACGTACAGTTCGGGTGACCCGAAGGAGTGCTTGCCCGTCAGAATGACGCACTCGGATTTCTCCGGAGCGAGAGCCAGTCCGTTGGCCGACATCCATCGCACCACGTCAGCAAGGACCGGGTTCACCAATTGCTCAATGAGTTCGGCGTTGTGAGCGGCCGCTACGACGGCTAAGTCATCAGCAAACGCGATAAGCTTCACGTCCTTGTGGACTGGCAAGCGCAGTATGCCGTCGTAGAAGACGTTCCACAAAGTTGGCCGGAGGACGGACCCTTGTGAAACGCCGCAGGTGACTGATAGGCATGGTGTTTCCGTTGTGCGGTCCTCGCCGATGAGCAGCTTTCGTTCCGACATATAAGATCTAAGGATATTTATCAGGTAGCCCGGAACCGACGATCTCTGAAGGGCTTCGTCGATCAGCTTCCACGATGCCGTGTTGAACGCGTTCTTCACATCGATCGTCACAACCGCGCAGAGTCGCCTGTTCTGGACTGCTCCTCTACCCGCCTCTCGCGCTGTTTTCAACACCTCTTCTATGGCGTCGGTGGTAGACCGGAAACGTCTAAACCCAAATTGCTGGCTGCTGAGGCGACTCTCTGTGTGTGGTAGCAGGCGGTTTAATATAAGTTGCTCCAGTAGCTTACCAGCGCCATCCAGTAGGCTAATGGGCCAGCGGTAGCTCGACGGTTGGTCTGTCGGCTTGCCGGCACCCTTGTGCAATAGCACCAACTTAGCACGTTTCCACCGTGACGGAAATTCCCCGTTAGACAAGCAAGCGTTATAGGTACTGAGGAAGGTACTCGGGTGACGTTGCGCAGCCATCTTTACCATCTCGTTTGGAACGTAGTCGGGACCGGGTGCTTTGCCCGAAGGCAGCGTACTTACCGCCTGTGCCAGTTCGTCCGCAGTGAAGAGAGGTGTCGTTCCTTCCACCGATGAGTTAAGCTCGCAGGAGAGTCCGGGCTGCAGAGGGATCTGGTCCCAGGCCACCGGCGGTAGAACGGGAAAAAGGCCTCTCGCGATTTGTTGCGCTGTAAGGTCATCCGTTGCGGGTGGCCGCCGACCTAATCGTTTGGTAACGAGTCTGTATGGTAAGCCCCACGGGTCATTGTCGACGGAATCGCACAGCTCTCTCCAGGACCTTTCCTGCGCTTTCCGTATAGCCACTCTCAGTGTTTTCCTCGCTACGTTGTACGCTGCGAAAGTTGCTTCTCGTTCACCTATGTCCGCTCTGCGACCCGCACGCTGGTAGCTCCTGCGGGCTGCTATGGCAATCTTGCGCAGATTGGCTATTTCGTCGCTCCACCAGTGCACTGCCTTCCTCCCTCTGGGCCTTGATCTTCTAGGCATTGCTGCGTCACAAGCCTGGCTCAGGAAATTATGTAACTGCTCCGCGTGATCTTTCACCGGAGCGTCCATCGGAAGAGGGGGAGGTTGGCCCTCGCGGTCCCAGTGATTTTTGATGGCTTCTGGAGAGAGTTTCTTAACCGACCAGCCACCCGGCCGGATCCCCCTCGCTGACGATCGCTGTGAACCGGGTTTCGACACCGTGTAAGTAATGTACTCATGGTCACTAGCGGTGTATCGGTTTGCGAGGACGGACCAGTCGGCTACCAATGGTCGGTTATTCGCAGCTCTTGCAAGAGTGACGTCTATAACTGATGAGGCGTTCACCCTTTTGAAAGTCGGTACGGTGCCCACGTTGCAGACCATGAGATCCAGCATCGAAGCAAAGCCCGACAGGAGTGATCCTCTCACATCATTCGAAGATGAGCCCCATTCCGCAGAGTGTCCGTCGCCGCGTCGACTTGGTAACGAATCGACATCTCAAGACCGACTAGAAACCTGTCGAACTCTTGGATGCTGCAGTTCGGGGTCCAGTAGCAGCTGTAGAAGAAAGCGCTACCAACCTTCACCCAGGCGAAGCCGTCACCGGAGCCTCGATCAGAAATGATTAACGTAGTTCGACTAGGGACGAAAACTGCGCACTTGTTGTCTGCAATAGCAGCCCATTGTTCCGGTTGCCCCATAGGGCGATTATAGTCGCTAACTATGACGACGTCGGTCTCGAGCTCTACGGCAGTTTGCAGGAGGAGCTGCTGCGCCGTCCAGCAGTGATTGAGGTTGACCTGCAAAACCCTAATCACTGGCGGGGGTYTGTCGCTACGGGCATGACGACGATTGTTGCATCGTCGCCGGAACTACAGCGCTTTTACTTGAATCCGAGTCCTCGGGCTCGGGGTCTTGATGCGGGGGTTTGCACGACGCTATGAGGTGGCCGACCGCCTTGCATCTGAAACATCTCCGTGTTTCTTCTCCCACGCAATATTTGGTCGCATGGTCAGGGCGGAGCACTTTGCACAACCGCTCTTGGATGCCAGTTCCTTGATGCGGCACTTTGACCAACCAACCTTCAGCTTCTTGAGGCGGGCTAGTTTAAGCCCGGGGAAGGCCGGAACCCTAWTTACAGCTGTCCTGACTCCGTTCGGTCCTTCACGGATCGTAATGGCATTCGACACTTTCAACTCTGGATCGTGGACCTCAAGAGTGCTCTTGAGTTCATCCTCGTCGACGGAGTCTTCGATGCCGATGATGATCAAGGCAACGCTCGGGGATGGTAGCCTGACTTCTCTGGTCTCACCGTACCGTCGTTTAAGGGCACTTGCCAGGGTGTCTGCCTGGACCTTGTCCTTTATCTCAAGGATCAAATTTCCCGATTTGGCTCTCCTAGGAGTTATATCGAAGGTGAGGGCCTCCTCCCGTACTATCTCCTTCACCTCCTTGACCATATCCGCGTAAGACATCTTAGACGGTTTCTCGAGCACCACCGCCTGCGTCTTGGGGGGACGCCTTCGTTTTTTGCCGTCGGACGGGGGGTCGGGCTTCCTTCCCCGCTTCTTCCTGACCACCTCGCTCCACGTCGGCTGCTGCTGCTGTTGCTCCTGCTGCTGTTGTTTCTGCTGCTGCTGTTGCTGCCCCTGCTTCCGCTGCTCCTGCCGCTGTTGTTGCCCTTGCTGCTGCTCCTGCTGCTGTTGCCGGCCCTCATTCCTCCTGCGCCTTTTTGAGCGCTGCGGCTGTGGTTGTTGCGGCTGTTGCTGGCTTTGAGCTCTTGGCGCGTCTGCTGACGGTTCAACTGAAGCTTGACAATCAGGCAACTTCCCTGGAGGTTCTATTTCTTGTGCGTCCGTTTKTACCCCCTTGCACGCTGTGACGCGATCCGCATGGGGTACCGTTGTGACTGCTGGTGGAGCGTCACCATTCGGTATCCGGTGAGACAGCGAATTGAACGCTCTAATCATGTCTTCACGGCTGCCCTTGAGTCCCGCAATCACGTTCAAGACCTCCTCAATGGCGATTTTAACCTCTTTACTTCTCACTTTTGCTGACCACTGTTCAAGCGCGTGTGCCTTCTGTAAGAGAAGTTTGTATCCACCATCTTGTGTGGCAATGCTTTTTCGGAGGTTGACAGCCAAGGTGTGGAGAGAGTCCACTTCCGGTTGAGCATTCAACTTGTCTCCGTTTCCTCCACTGTTGGGGATTGGTGCTGTTCTGATGGAAGGTAAAGCAGCGGGGGCCTGGCTGGCCACACCCTCGCTCTTTTTCCTGTTGCCTTTCGACACGCCTGTCTCTTCAGCTCTAGTAGTTGATAGAGAAACGGGGGCCTGGCTGGCCACCCCCGCACACTCACGGTCGCTGGATAACGACCGTAGTGGGCCCGCTACGTTGGATCCGGCTTTGACCCCGGATCCACCCACTACTGCCGGCACCTGGGGGTCCGAATCCCCTGGTGCGGTAACAATTGTGCAGTCGTTAACGTTCATATTGGGTTTTTAGAGTGATTTCCTTCACTTGCATTTTACCTACTGCCAGGGGATTTTAATTCAGTGTTGCCTTCACCTATGTCCGTTTGCAGGCGCTTGCAGGTGGACAAGACCTGCCCGACCAG